CGCCATCGCCGTCGAGGTCCGTCGCCGTCGCCGTCGAGGTCTGCCACCGTTGAGGTCCGCTGCCGTTGTCGTCGAGGTCAGTTCTCTTGAATTCTCCACCTCGTCCATCATTTGATAAACCTTAAATTTTGGATGATCACCAGAAGAACACCGCGAATGTCAAACCAGGCCAAACCAGCTGTACCATTTTACCATGGTTGCCTACGTACCCTCTGACCGGGAACAAGTTAATCGTAGTTCTGCTATTACCCTCTTGGGCAGATCAACACGGGCTGATATGGAGCAAGTCCAAATAATGCTGAAACTTGCTACCTGTCACCACCTTGGTTAACATGTCTGCTGGGTTCTCATTCGTGTGCACCTTCATGAGAGAAATATCACCTTCCTCTATGACATCCCGCACAAGATGATACCTGACGTCGATATGCTTGATATGAGCATGATGAATTTGATTTTTAGCCAAGTGAATTACACTCTGACTATCGTACCACAAGTTCACGCAATGCTTCTCAATCCCCAAATTGTCTAACAGACTTCACAACCATAATGCTTCCTTCACTCCCTCTACCATGGCCATATACTCAGCCTCTGTAGTAGAAAGTGCTACTATAGCCTATAACATCGATCGCCAAATGACTGGAGCACCATGTATTCTGAATACATAACCAGTAGTAGATCATCGTCTGTCTAGATCGCCAGCATAATCTGATCCACAAACCCATCAATCTGACATGTATCTCTACCAAAACACAGATCCGTATTCGTAGTACCTTTCAAGTACCTCAGGACCCATTTCACCGCTTCCTAGTGCGCCTTTTCCGGATTCGTCGTGAATCTACTGACCACACTAACCACCTGTTAAATATCTGGACGTGTACACACCATGTCGTATATCTAACTGTCAACTGCACTAGCATAAGGAACACATTCCATATGTGTCTTCTCTTTCACTATAGTGGGAGATTGTTTACCCGCGAGCTTGAAATGTGGGGCCAATGGAGTCACCACTGACTTAGCACTTTGTATCCCAAACCTCACGATCTCCCGCTCTATATAGTCCTTCTGACTCAAGAACAATCGCCGATTCGCTCGCTCTCTTCTAATCTCTATAGCTAGTATTTTCTTAGCAGTACCTATGTCCTTCATCTCGAACTCTATACTAAGTTGAGATTTCAGTCTATCTATCTCCACCTTACTTCTTGAGATAATAAGTATGTCATCCACATACAAAAGAAGATAGATATAATCACCTCCACGAAGCTTTCGAATATAGACACAACAGTCATAATTGCTTCTGAAAAACCCATGCTTTAGCATGAAGGAGTCAAATCGCTTGTACCACTGCCAAGGAGATTGCTTCAATCCACATAGTGATTTCCTCAAGCGACATACATGATTCTCCTTATCCTCAACCTTATAACCCTCAGGCTGATGCATATAGATTTCCTCATCCAAGTCTCCGTGCAAGAAGGTCATCTTGACATCGAGTTGTTCCAGCTTAAGATCACCATGAGCAATAATACTCAATAGCACCTGAATAGAAGTGTGTTTCATCACAGGAGAAAATATCTCATTGTAATCCACACCCTCTCTTTGAGCAAACCCCTTAACCACTAACCTCGCCTTGTACCTTGTACCGCCAAGCTCTGAAGAATCTTTCTTTCTTTTATACAAACACTTACAATATATAGCTTTATTTCTTACGGGCAATACGACCACCTCTTATGTTTGGTTCTTCCGGAGAGATTACATCTCTTTCTCCATCGCAGCCAACTAACTCTCGCTATCTCTATCCCGAATAGCTTCCTTGAAGGAGACAGGCTCATCTTCCTCCACTGAGAGTGCATACTCAACCAAATTAACCTGCCCATAGTACTTCAGGGGTTGATCAACCCCCAGCTTCTGTACCTGCTTGTATGCTCGCCTTGGCCTAGTGGAAGCTAAGTTATCCTCGAGCTATTGTTGTTGTAGTGCTTGTACATTTTATTGCTGAACCTCCTCTTGTTCAAGCTCATCATCTTCATGATCCTCCTATTGAATATGATTAGAACCTGGTTGGTCTTTAGGTTCCATTTCAATTACCTGGGACTTAGAAGTCCCAACGGTCCCAACACCACCGTTCTTGGATGCCCTGACAATCATAGAATTCTCATCAAAGGTAACATCTCTGCTGATTATGAACTTGGAATCTTCTGTACACCAAAGGTAAAAACCTTTTACGTCCTTTGCATACCCCAAGAATATTGCCTTCTTGGCCCTCGCATCAAGCTTTCCCTCGTTGACGTGATAGTAAGCGGTGCATCCGAAAATCCTGAGCCTCTCATAATCTGCATGCTCCCCTGACCACACCCTATAGGGTGTATCACCATCCAATATAGAATGTCTCTGCTGATTATGAACTTGGAATCTTCTGTACACCAAAGGTAAAAACCTTTTACGTCCTTTGCATACCCCAAGAATATTGCCTTCTTGGCCCTCGCATCAAGCTTTCCCTCGTTGACGTGATAGTAAGCGGTGCATCCGAAAATCCTGAGCCTCTCATAATCTGCATGCTCCCCTGACCACACCCTATAGGGTGTATCACCATCCAATATAGAATGTGGAGAATGGTTCATAATATAACATGCTGTAGCCACTGCTTCTGCCCATCATTCTTTGCCCAATCTAGTATAAGATCGCATACTCATTGCTTTCTCCTACAATGTTCGGTTCAGCCTCTCCGCGACCCCATTTTGTTATGGTATAGATCTGACCGTCAAGTGTTGAGCAATGCCCTCCTGATCATAGAACTCTTTGAAAGCACCATCTGTATACTCTGTACCATTATCAGATCTCTGTGTCTTCAATTTCTTGCCTGTCCTGCTCTCAACCATTGCTTTCCACTTCTTGTATGTCTCAAATACCTCATTCTTATACTTAAGAAAATAAATCCAAGCATACCTCGAATGATCATCTATGAACGAGACAAAATACTTGGAACCACTATTGGAAGTTGTCTGAGGCGGACCCCAAAAATCTATGTGCACATAATCTAGTATACCTCTACTCTTGTGATTGCTTTTCAAGAACTGGACCTTGTGCGCCTTCCCGTACACACAATCCTCACAAAAATCCATGTAAGGTTTCTTCAAATTTTTTAGCAAACCCTCTTTACCAAGCAGATTTAGACCCTTCTCTGACATGTACCCAATCTGCCTATGCCATAACCGAGTGTGCTCACACCGCTTCATCTCCCGTCACCATCGTACCTGAGAGAGTGTATAAATTTTTATGACAAACACCTTTCATTACTACTAGGGAACCCCGAACAACCTTCTTCACTCCGTTCTCTGTAACAATCTTACAGCCACCGGAGTCCAAAGCACCAACTGAGATAAGATTCTTCTGCAAGTCGGGAACGTGTCTCACTTCCATTAGGGTTTTAACCACTCCATGATGCATCTTAATTTTTATATTACCAAGCCCCACCGTTTTACAAGCATGGTTATTCCCCATCAATACAGTTCCACCATTAATGCCTCTATAGGTAGTAAACCACTTCCTATTTGGGCACATATGGTAAGAGCAACCCGAATTAAGAATCCACTTACCAGAGATATCTTCGCCACCCATAACAACGTAGCATTCTTTATCGCTCCCTTCCTTCGAGACGTAACTCGCCTCTTCCATGCCTTCTCTCCTCTCAGTTTTATTGTTGTTATTCTTCCCACCTACTCTCTTGTTAGGATAGTCAACCTTAAAATGCCCTAGCTCACCGTATTTGAAATACGGTCTTCCCGCAAGATGTCTCGATTTTGATCTAGACTTTCCTCCCTTGCCTTTTCCTTGCTCGTTGTCCCTTCCTCTAGCAAACAGTCCCTGGGCTTGCTCCTTGTTATCACTAGTGGCCATGTCACTAGTTGTAATTTTCCAAAGGTCATCCGCCAGAAGCGCCGTTCTAGTCTCATCCATCGTCAAATTTTCTCCCATAAGCATCAGTGTTTGCACAAGGTTCTCATAAGACTTTGGCAGAGATAGAAGTAGTAGAAGCGTCTAATCCTCGTCTTCTACAGTCACATCGATGTCCTTCAGATTCGATATTATCCTATCGAACTTGTTGATGTATTCCCGGATTGATGATCCCTCCTTCATCTTGCAAGTATATAATTTGGATTTTAAATGGATCCGGTTCGTTAGACTTTTCGTCATGAATGTGCTTTCTAACTTCAACCACACGTCCGTAGCCGTTACCTTTCATCTACCAAGAAAGCGACATCCTTTTCAAGGCAAAGGATAACGCCCATGGTTCCAGATCCAGCTCCTCTCAATCCTCATCAGACATATCATTGTGCTTCTTCACTTTTTCCGCTAAAGCCTTGTGTAATTTCTGCGAAATCAGCAAATTTTTCATCTTCATCCTTCAATAGGAAAAATAATTCTTCCCATTGAATTTCTCGATCTCATACTTTCCCACTTTAACTGTTTTACTTGTAGACGACATTCTCCGCTTGTATTAATACATCCAATTCTCTCAGTAATTTTAACAATAATCAAGCACCACTTCAAATCGGATATTTTATCACCTGAACAAGGGCTCTGATACCAATTGTTGGGAGTGTGAGACGCCCACACCGCTGCGGAAGCTAAATTAATCCCGAGAGAAAACAACCTAGCTCGAGTTTACACCAAACTCAAACCAACCAATACAAGCAATAATAAATACACAGATAAACCAATAAGTAAATGAGACGAGACAATTGATTTGCGTGTTCGGTAAAATTTCCTACGTCCACGGGAGCCACACAAATAATTTCTTATAACCATAAGAAATTACGAAGCTTAATAAAAGAGAGAATCTCAAACTTGAGATCTCTCACATCAACAACTCTTCACTGGAGCAAATATTTGCTACATGAATTGTGCAATTTTTCTTCACCGAAAAATTCACTTCTTAAACTCTTGAGAAGTGTCGCCGCCACAGAGAAGAAATTCTCCTCTTTTAAAAATCTCGAGTTGAGCTCCTTTCATCTCGTGAACAGGGATTCCCTTTTATAGGAAAACCCTAGGGCAGTTTGTACGATCCAGCTGGATCCTACCCACGCAGGCGAGATCAAGGCTCTACAGGCGACATTATCTCCGCAGGCGAGCTTTCCTCATCGCCTGTCCAAAGCCCGCAAGCGAGCTTTCCTCCAAAGCCCTGCAGGCGAGATCTCCTCAAACTCCACCACTACAGGTGAAGCTTCGTCGCCTCTCCAAAACCGCAGGCGAGGTCCGAGGCAAAGCAGGCAAGAGACGTCGCGTCGAGGTCCGCCGCCGTCGCCGTCGAGGTCAGTTCTCTTCAGTGATTCTCTACAATTAAGATCTAGAATACCTTATTTGCCCCAGCGCATGGATCGGAGGCCACGGCCAGGTCATACTCTCAACTTTTTATGAAAACTAGGAAAATTGAGGCAACAAGAAAGTAATATACTTATCCAAAGCTCCAAACACGTACAATCAAAGCAGCTACATCCGTACAATACCTGCCCCAATGACAATAAGGGACCAACAACCACCTTAAATTATCACTCGTGCCTAATATGCACATTATACTCAACAACAGCATTCCCCGTAAGAAGACTGAACTCGTGCGTCTTGGCCAACGCATACCCCCTAGCAAACCTAAACTTCCCACTCCCTCCGATCACCGGCATCTCCCTCACATCGTTAAACACTGCGTTCCGTCCGAGAACCGACAGTGTGCTCCCGTTGAACTCCCCATCAACGAACACGAGGTTCATCGCCATCAACAGCCCGGCTTCGTCCTGGGAAGCAAGACCGTACATCCCCTGCGCCTTCCCTATGAGCTTTGAGTTGCGGTCAGGCTCCTCAGTCAGCGGGTCATCCATCATGACGAGGGCGCCGAATCCAGTGAGCGACACGTCGGTCGTCGTGGCCTTCGCGATGCGCATCGCTGTAGGGGGAACTCCCACGACGATGTCGTGGAAGTAGAAGTGGAGGTGGGTTTCTTTTTCGTCGTCAGAGACTGAGGACGAGATGAGGAGTGAGAAGGAGAGGAGGAGGACGGTGAGTTGAAACACTGATGCCATTGGCGAAATATGTATTTGTGTTCAGAAGTTCGTAATGCGAGTGATGAAGATGAGAGAGGCGGCATGCTTTTTGAGTACTTATATTGATGTTTTTGTTGAGATTAGTTAGGGGCAGTTGAGAAAGCAACGGTGGTGTTTGAGACTGCTTAGTGACCAAATTCACCTAGATTCTCAGCAAACTTAGGAGCGTAGAGGTGCGTTAGTTAAGACTTAATTAAAGCTTCTATTCTTGTGACAAGACGTTGATATAGACTTGTTTAATTTGCATGTCTTGTAGCCACCTAACATCTTTCATCATTTAATTAGATTTATGGGTTACATTATAACCAATAAAACAGCTCTGACTCCTATTTCCTACCAGCCCCTCCAATTTTAAATTTGGTTTATAGGGCGTCCTTAACAAGCTAAACATTTTTTCTACACTTGCTAAGAACAACTCTTTTATTGTAAGTATCTTTGAGCGTACAATATGGAAAAAAGCATGGTGCCAATGAAATTATCATATTGTAAATGTTGCGCGCAGCGGAAATTTCGGCAGCACTTCGGCAGCACAACAAGAGAGTCAGGTCGTAATAAGAA